CTTGTGGTTTAACAGGGGCAAATATTGGTTGCGTTAAACGTGGTTGTAAAGCTGTTACACATTATCCCTGTGCATTAACGAAAGGTTGGCACTTGGATACTAATCAGTATATACCGAAATGCAACCTTCATCGGATTACGTGAAACTTCGGTGAGTTTGCTTATATAGATTATTATGAAATAATATATTCAGTATTTTATAATATATGGCTTTAATTTAGAGCACCGAATGATGATTAATAGTTATAAAAAATTATATTCAAATTTATTTGTAAAACAAATTTGCTACAAAAATATACATTCAAATTAACAAAGCGTAAAACAAAACATCTTCATATATTTATATGTACAATGGGATATATTTAACAATTTAATATTTTGTTTACTAAATACTTTATTATAACTAATATTTTTTTTATATTTTTTTTATTGAAAAAAATTGAAATCTAATTTCAATTTTAATGAAATCTAATGATTAATTTATATTTTTCAGCATTTAATAATTTTGAGACGTTTTGAAATTACGCTTTGCATCATTCGATGCATAAGTGTGTTTGAAGTGTGAAAGTAAAAATGTCAAATGTATAAAGGACAGAAATATTGTAATTTACATACACAAAATATCAATATGCTCGACAGAAATATCTTCCAATGTACAAGATGTTGAAATGAGAATGCTGTTACTCTTGAGAATTAAAAATGAAAATGGAAATTAACGGAAATGAAGACATGGAAGTTCTTCTCGTTAATTAAATTTAATTAATTTTCTTGGCCTGTGGCCTTGAACAGTGGCCTTTTCGACCTAATGTAAAAGGAAGATTTTTTAATTTAAAATCTGTAGTATAGATGAATTGTTGCTGAGGAACAATATTAATCAAAAAAGTATTTGCTTTTTTACTAATATTTATGAAATTTGAAAACAAATTTTTCCCTAAAACATCATGTACGCGGGAATAAAATATGGGGCATATTGTATCAAAATTTGAACAAAATTATTCAACAAAAGAATGAAACAGCACTGAATTTCTTCTAAGTTGTATGTGTGTATATAAAATGAGATGGATTATTAATCAATTAAATTGATGGAATTTGAAGACTCTTGACACGTTTCGAAAGAAGTGTGGATAAGAAACATGTAGACAAGTGTTCTCCTGTGAATGTAAGAAATCATCTGTAAATAACAAAGTTCTTATGTGAAAAATGACTATTATATTATTATACAATTTCAATGATAGCAAAATATTTTTTCGTTTTTTAAAATCATATTGCTTTAGTAAGCATGTGTAGTTAATGTTCTTTATTGCGGGAAAATATTAGTGTAATAATACTTATTTCTATTATAATTTTTTGAAGATCAATTGTGACATATAAATCTCATGTAGGTGTAAATAAATAGATTTTCGCTCATATATTTCCTTTTATTTCTTAACCTTGTCTATTTTATAGCTATATGTTGAAGTCATTTCTTTATTTAAAGAGAACGAGCTCACATGTTTACTTGAAAAGAGAACACTTGTAATAAATGTAGCTATTGTTATAGTCTAAAAAAGAATGAAGATTTGTTTCAGAAATATTATCTTCTCTTTTTTTTGGCATGTGACGATTATAATTTCATTGTATACTATAATTTATGAGTGTGAAACCAGTGATTAAGATTTAATAGCATATATACAATTTAATGATTAAATTAATTGCTACTTATTATTATACAATTTATGATAATTATTACTGATTTATATTATTTTTTCATATTATTATTGTAATCATTTGCGCTACCATTATTGTCATTGTCGTTTTCATCAAATTTTGTAAGAATATAAAAGAATCAAGATTTTGTAATAACAAATATAAACACATTGATGATATTGATTCTCTTGATGTATCAGGGAGAAATAATAAAAAGCAGGAAAATTGTATAAAAATATATAGAATAAAATGTATATATAATATTACTTTGAATAGACGAAATATATATATATATATATATATATATATGCATGTGCGCGCGCGCTGTGTATATGTGTGTGTGTGTCTATGTGTGTGTGTAATATACACATATACATACATACATATACACACACGCGCGCGCGCGCACGCATACACATATCAGCAAATACAAAATGATTTGCCATTCCTGCTCTCACAACACAAAGTATGGCAAAATAAGAATAATCATTTTTAAATATTAATTATATAAATACAGAAAATAGTTGTCGAAAAAAAAGATTATTTGTATATATATGTCATATGTAGTAATAGATATCTTGTAAAAAGAATTCAAAGAACATAAAAAAAGCATTTTATTTAGAATTGTAGTATATTTGTTTTAATATAAAATCAGACAAGCAGTTTACTTAAGTAAATGTATTTAGGTTTTTTTAAATTCCTCAAGACAGAGCTCATTACTTACATGTAAAGAGCAGTCTTTGTAACATAAAAAACAAAGAAATAAATAGCCAAAAAATACTGCTACTGAGTTTAATAAGAAAATTGAATTATAAACAAAACGCTTATATTATATAATTATGTATGAAAGAGAAACAAAATTTTATCTTAGATGGATAACTATAATTAATACTTGTGATACAAAATAATTTCTGGATTGAATGGTGTGATGAATAATTGCAGTAATATTTTTTCTTTAACTTTGCGTACATAGAGCGCTATAAGTACATATTCTTGTACAGTTTAGTTTTATGATAAGTCATTATAATATATATTACATATTTAATCTATTGAGAAAGATATAAATCAAGATATTACAGAAATTTTAGATATTCTAGAATTCTCTTTGTACGCATAGTTTACTTAAATTTAATTAATTTTGAAAGTGATATGGAAGAAAAATCTTTTATGATCTGTCTTGTATAAATGCTAAACTTATTTGGCTTGTAAATTGCGAAAGAAATAATTTAAAGCACTGAAACAATAATGCGCAAAAAATTTGAATATTACAATGCCTAAGTAATTTGTATAAAATAGATCTGTAAAATAAAATTGTCACATCGTGATACATGATGAGAGAAGTAACGTAGTAATGTTCGTGAATTGAAAGTAGCAAAAACAATTATGTAATGTTAAAAAATTAATAGGTATTTTTATTCTTGCCTTCTTATTTTTTGAAACTAATTTAGTTATAAATTTTTTTCCTTTCTATTCTATCATTTTTCTTTTTTTTCTATATTTATTTTCGAAACTATTGTAGTTATATATTTTTTCTGTGACCTGGCTTAACATTAGTAGAATAATTAATAGAAAGAAAAAAAAAATATTGATTTTTTTTTAATCTATTTAGTAATATTGAATAATAGAAAAAAATTCGCGGAATGTATTTGAAAATCGATACAATAATACAAGTAAATATACATCTTTGTGTAATATAAATATAGTGAATAATAAAACACATGATATAAGTCATAAGTCGGAATAACTACAAACAATTTCAAAATAGCCCTTAATAAATAAAATTCATGAATGTACAAAATTTAAAAAAAAAATTAGCGAAATTAAATTCTTGTACCAAATTTAACTCCATTAATCAAAATAAAATAAGGAAAAATTACATGAAAGAATAAGAATAAGGAAAAATATGTACAAAGAATACACAATTTCGATTGCATAATGCAAAGTTTTACGTATATAATGATATAAAAAGAATAGTATTATTTTAATTCGTAATATATAATTCTTTTTTGTTATAAAGCGTAATGAAATGAATCTTTGTATATATATTTAAATATAGTAAATCTATAACCAAAATATACACTTTTAAATTGCGATGGCACCAATGAGTTATAGTTTTCTTTTTTTGTTGTATTAATATTCAGACATGATATCTATCAAAATAATAATATAGTTACCTTATTTTATATATAGCACAATAATATTTTTAATAAAATATTTTTTTACTATTAATCATTAAAATAGATTAAGAGTCTCTTTATTTGAAAATTTTATTTCAAAATGATTTATAGACAGAAATTTACAATTAAATTATATTCTTAATTGAAAAAAAATTTTTTTTAATTTTTTATTAATAAACTATAAAAAATGCGAAATAAGGAAGAAGAAAAAAATAAATAGAAATATATTGTAATCATTTTATTTTTGTGATATGATATTTTCTATATGATGTATAATATAAAATGTTTTTAAAAATTAAATAATTTTCAATATTTTATTTTATAAAGATGTTTGAAATTTATTTAAGAATTGATTATATATCACTATTTATATAACACGATATATTTATAAAAAGATTTAGAAAAATTTATGTTAAATATGATTATTAGATATTCGATATTTTTAGTGTGAATCGTAAAAACACTTTGTTTAAAATACTAATTTATTTTTCCTCTTGATATTTAATTTATAATGATTCATATTAGAATTATAATATATAAATATTATATAATAATAATAAATATTTTGTTTATTATAGGATATTCTTTTAATAAAACTACATAAATATGAAGAAAATCTATTGTTTATTTATGTATATATCATATGTATATTTATTAAATTTTTATATATTATGAATTGATATATTATTATAATTATTAATTGTAATTTATAATCAACAATTATAAATTCATATTCGAAGTTCATTAACAAAAAATATTTAATGCTTATAAAAAAATTGCTATTTTCAAAAAATGTAGATTATATTTTGATAATTATATTATAAATTATATATTTTATAAAATTATTATGCTCTATTTTTTATTTTTATGAAATGAATGTTTTTAATTATTCATTATTTGACTTTTAATACAAACATGAATTATGTTTGTTACAAAGTTTTAAAATAATATAAGAATATGTATTTACAATAAGATTCTTTATGTTTAAATTTAATTTATTACTTATATATATGTCTACAAAGTAAAATTTAAACATACGCATGCGAAATTATATATCGCGCTTAGTGCGCCATCTTGAAATTTAAAGAAAGACATGCAATGTTGTGTCTTATCCCTAATATATCAATGGTTTTAATCTTCCTGTCATTGGTCAGGGAATGAGAAAGTCTTCCCACTTTCTAGTAGGATTTGTTTCTTCAGTATGTTACTGACTGCGGTGGGAAGTGGTTTCGCGGTCCAGTGTTCATATGGTGCTCAAGTTTTCATGAAGTTTTGTGATTTTTGCACCGACATAGAAATTATGTCGACTCAAAATGGGTAATTTATCAATACTAGTGAAATTTAGTGCGGTACTTTTCTTTTGCATTTTGGATTATACGCGGGCTGATAACGAATTACAAGGTAATGAAAATTTTCTGTATCTTTTGTATAGTATTTCCATACATCAAAAACACGTGGTTATTCTAATCTATCATATAACTGACTTTTATTTATATTTTTTGACAATTACTATTTTAACTTTGTACTTTGTAAAACTTTTTATAATATGTAAATTAATAACTTTTAATTTTTAATCAAATGTTTGTCTCTTACTTTTTAAATTTTAATTTATAATTAAATTTGTAATATTATATATATAAATATATACATATACATAATAATAATATGTATATATTATATTTAGAAATATAAATATAAATAAAAATGTAAGATAAGATATTTTAATCTTGTTTTAAATTAATTTAATCTTTATTTTTTCTTACTCAATATATAATATTTTTTGCTTTTTAAATTATATTTTTTAATTAAATTTTATTCGTATGATTATTAGATCTAAATATATCAATTTGTATATCATATTACTATATATTCATATTTTTTTTTATTGCATTTGAAACGTAAGTGATTGAATTTATTTCATCTTGAAGTTAATTATTATACAATGATAATTATTATTATATAATGATAGTTTGTAAGTGCATTATACCAGAAATCCTTCTTTCAACTTTGTTCCTTCATTTTATATTCATTATATTGTCATCGTATTGTTAATTATTCGTAGAATTACTATTTAATAATAATTACATTTTAATTATATAATATTTAAATTAAAATATAGTTAAATTAAATTAAATAAAAATTTAAATATCATACAAAATTTAATTTCACTTCTTATTGACATTCTTGAATTATTATTTTTATTCAATTTATATTATTTAAATTATTTTATATTACAATTTTTAATTGTATGATTATATGATTACATCATAATTATAAATTGTTTTTTAATTATATTGTTTAAATTATATTGTTGAATTATATTATTTTTTGCAAATAATGTTATAAATTATTATAAATTTTATTTGAATTAAATTTTTAAATTTCGGCATTCTTTCGAAATGCAATAATAAAATATAAAATAAATCTTGATAACAATAATAGTGATATTAATCTCACACTTAAATATCTATTTTGTCCAATATTATAATGTCCAAGCTCGTAATGGATAGATATTAAGTAAATGTAACGATAGTTCCGTTGTATATATTGATTGTCCTGATGTGTTTATATAAACTATTGATAAGTGATGGTTGCAAATTGACGCATACGCTGTCACGTACACAGACAAAATTCAATTTAATAACACATGAAATTTTTTTTAATTAACATAAAAACTTAAACTAAAAACGATAGTGGTATAAAAATAAATAATATGTATTAAAAAAATTGTTCAAAATGTTAATTTCTATTTAAAAACTATTTAAGTTAAGAACGTGCTCATTTTTTAAATAATTTTTTAAATAAATTTTAAATAATCAAATTTTTCTCTTTTTTCTCTACATATGTATAGATATGACATAATACATACACATAATAATACAATATATATATATATATATATACATATATATATATATACACATCCAATATAACATAATAATATAATATATATGTATATATTTTAGCAAAATGTAAAATGTTTCATATAAATTGGGGATACATAATTTTCCTTGATGTTAATCAAGGAAATATTCAAATATTTGCAAATGAATTTTTTGTAGTTTCAATAGAATCAAAATTTAAAAAATAGAATTTAAACTTAGAAATATACAAATATTTGTTTGATTCTCAAGTTCTTGTATTTTTTGTACCATTTTGGTTGCGCATTATTAAAATTTAATTTTTATATTATCTGTAAATAATAGACTAATATTCGAAATAGTTTTTATTTATATAAACAAAATTCATCTGTATAAAGTTAAACTAACTATATAAATATTTTTTGATTGATTAATTTATAAGATATGTATATATATAATTAATTTATAAGATCATATATAATCAAATTAAATATATAAATATCTAAAATATATAAATGTATAAATCTTAAATTAAATTATATTTATATAAATTTTCTATATAATGAATTAATATAAATTTAATCTCCATTTTGTTTTTCAAAATAATCTTTTTTTTTGTACTGAAATAGTTTTTATTTTTCTACCATATATAACATATTTTTTGTAATTCAGTTTAAATCTCCTTAAATATATACATACAAAATATCTCATTAATTTCATTTTGAATATGAAAAAATAAATTAATAAATTAAATTTTGTCAATTATTCCAAAATAATTGCTTGTATAAAATATTTGTATTATTTTAATAAAAAAAATTCAAGTTGAATTGCAAAAGATTTTTTACGCAATTGGAGAGAAAGACTTCTAGAAACATTTAAAATAAATAGAAATGAAATCGTGGAATTAATATAGATATTTAAATTAATTGATAATTAAAAATTTTCTTAACACAATTCTGTTTCTTTTTGATTGCATCTTATGTATATCATATTTTATCGATTTTAATTTTAATTAATTTCAATTTCAATTTTATTTCAATTAATCTAAATTTTGACTAAAGAAATTGTACCAGCAATTAACTATATTTGTCTATAATTTTTTTGCACAAATAATTATAAACAAAAAATTATAAACAAATATAAATAATAAACTTTAATATATAAAATATAAACAATAAACTTTATATTATATTTCGAAAAACAAAACCTAAATTTAAATAAAAATTTAATGTTTAAAATATTCTAAATGTGTATATAATGAATAATGTTAGTTACAATTATAAATAATAAATATATTTAATTAAAAATAAATAAAATTTGAAATTAATTGTATATTAAAAATATAACTATATTTGTAAATTTTTATTTAATTAAAATTAATATAATTTATGAAAAAAATTTTTCATTTTAATGTTTTTATTTTATAAAAAATTTTTATTATTTATTATTTTTATAAATTTTCAATTGTGCTAATTAATAAATTTGAACCTTTTAATATGAACTGAAAATTTTTAATGAATTGCAAATTTTTTTAAAACAAAAAAATTAAAATCACTTAATTAAAAATTTTATTAAAATTATCATTATAATAATGTCAATTATATATATGTATGTGTATATTATATATACATATTATATATATATATATATATATATATATATATATATAA